TATGCTAGTCATTCATAGTCTAGCATGTTATTTAAGTAAGTTCAGTTCATTATTTTATAATTGATCTCACTATAATTTTTATCAATGATTTGAAGAGTTGTATGAGAGAAAGTGAGATTCCATGAATGAATTATTTTAATTTCTTCTTGATCAAAATACATTTAACTAGACCAATAGAACTTAAATATTTATAAGAAATATTTTGTTCAATCATTACTTATTCTTTAATCATTTTCTTTTTTTTTCTCTAAACACATGAATAGAAATGTATATTCACAAAATCTAATTGTCACTATAAAAATAAAGAATTGATAGAAAGAACAACGGACTCATTTCACACTCACTTACATCGCTTCCAGCTCATATGTTGATGTCAATTTCCTTCATTTTTACTTACTTTTCTTTTACACCGGATAGATAAGTAGACGATGACGGTACACACTTTCTCACTAGGCCATTTTACCACGATAGTAGTTATGATGGTAACAAAGCGGAAACCCGTTCGTTTTTTTTCTTATACACCTATATATACACGCACGTTTCTTTCTCTCGTTTCACGTCTGTCATTTCAAATCATGAGCCGAAACGCTTGATGCCGTGCATGTATTTAGCAAAAAAAAAGTGTATGCTACTCGAAGTAGTAGTAGTTATGAGTGAATAAGAAAGGCAAAAAAGGAAGTTGTTACGGTGGAAATGAAAGAAAACACTTATCAATGAACTCATACGAACACAAATCGGTGCGAGACACGATGGACATTGCACCTTTAGAAAACAAAAGAACGTCATTTTGAATTTTTTTGGAAATGAAAAAAAAAAGAGAGAAAAAAAATTCTTTACTCTTAAAACTGTTACTGTATGCGTTGTTCACTTAGTTGCATTTAATCACTTTGCTCGTCGTCACACTTGAGAGAGAAGAGCTCTTACTTCGTTTTCTTCCTCCGCCTTCTCTGAGGAAAAGAAAGTAAAGAGAAACAAGAGAAAAAAAGGTGTTCTTACAAACACACATTTAAGAGACAGAGAGATCCACACTTGAACATTAATGGGATGGTAATGATGATGACAATGGAAACGAAAATAGTCAATTGACTAGTAGCAGAAATACAAAAATCTATGAAAGTAAAGAGCGTGACACTATTTAATAATGTATGAATGTAAGACAAATAAAAAAAATCTATGATGACAGGACAGGTGGAAATCGATAGAAGACACACGAATTGTATATCTACTGTTTAGTCTACTTTTTTTTGATTGACTATTTAGTCATCCGTAAATTTGACAAGTGTGTCAACTTATTAGAAATAGCAGAAGTCAGGTAGACAAAAGAGTAACAGTCAGATCAAGCGCCCGAATATCTTGTTATTAGAATTTAGAACATACATGCACACCTGGACAGAGAGAAAGAGAGAAAGACACACTTTCTCCTTCTCTCTCTCTCACTCACTCACTCACTCACTCACACACACTCTCTTTTTTCACTTCTCTCTTTCTTTTCTTTTTCTTTCATTTTCTCTCTTTAAATCAACATCTCATTTTGTTGCCACTACCTTTACTTTTTCTCACTCGCACATTTTAACATTCATTCGTCCCAGTTTACACATATATATACATACACCGTTCATTATTAAGATGTATCTTTACTGAGCGGTTGATTTACACGATTCCGCTTAGTATCGTTGCATCTTCAACAATCTGATTCGGTATTATCATCTAATCATTATATATGTGTCACAATAAACTCACATCAGATATTTATATGTATATCATCGCATGTTAAGATAATAGTTCTTTTGAAAACACATTCATTTCAAAGACTATCACAGCTTGAAAAACAAGATCAGTATGTCTTCAATGGAAAAGACTAAAAATAAATTTTTAGTATCTTGTTTTTTTATTTCATGGAAAAATAAAATGTGATGTAGTATTCTTGTTGCTTACATTCATTGAAAGACTTTAGTTTAAAACTAACAAATTTTTCACATAGAACGAATTGGTAAGTGATCATATTTATATTGATTTTATCTACAAGTAAGTATTAAAAATCCTAAAAATAAAAATTCTGTTTTGTTTGCTACGAGTCCATATGGAATATCATATTCTAGACAAAAAGAGAAAAAGAAAAACATAAAAATTCAATTGCGCAAAGGTAATAATCATTTCTTTCTTATACTTGATAAATCTATATATGTACATGATGCAATACATTGACAATTTTCTTTTTAATTTATGTGAATTGGTTGGCATCTTTGACAAACATTGTATTCAAGTGTCATTTTTTTTTTCATCAAAATGTAAATAAATACAATGCAAAAAAAAAGAATACTATGGCTACATCATATGTAAAGAACAAGAAAAACAATTCGTGATATATATTCATGATTCAGAATTTTCATTACTATTAAAATGCATATAAGAAATTGAGTTTAACATTTATGAAATCGACAAACTCACTAAAGAGCGATATGTAGACAACTAAATCATGTTTTATTGATCTATTGTCTCTTTTACGTTTAAATTAAATCCTATGATAAAGTAATTTTATTGATTTTCATAGACCAAAAAAATAAATTTTAATTTAATTAATATTGTCAAAGAGTGATTTCAAAAGTTTTTTTTCTTTCTTTTTTTATTGTTATATTGATTTTCGAAAATCATGTAGAGATTGTCTAAATCGAATGCTTTTATTCTTTGTGACTATTGCGTCTCTGTTAAAAATCATTAATTTTTAAAAATTGTAATTAAAGAAGAATATATCATTACGAAATTCTATGTGTATTCGCTGATTAATAAAATTTTTTAAAAAATCTACAGATAATTTCAATAGTTGATCACATAGTTGGGTATAATAATTTATAAATAAGTAATTTCTTTGACATATGTTGATTATAAAAGCAAAAAAAAAATTATTGTAGATGAATTTATACATATCATATATTGTAATTAACAGTTAAAGGTAGGTTTCTTTTACATTAGTATGATTATATTTACTTTAGTTTTTTTCTCAATCAGATAATTAAAGAGCAAGTTCATTTAACTTGAATGATTTTGTTGAATAATTTATATGATACTAGTATGAATGAAACTAAGTTTAATAAATGATAGAAACATTCTTAAATATATTGATGAACAAAAAGAACGAATGAAAATAGAATGATAAAAATAGACATAATATTCAAAATAATCAATGAGGCTAAAGTAATTACCGAAATCTTGATCCGTAGTACTCTGCATAGATGCATCATAGAAAACTTATACTTTTTTCCAGTTGAAAAAGCAATTTCTGAACCTCAAAAAACATAAGAAAAAAAATTTTGAAATTAACTTATCAGTGAGAAAAAAACTCAATATCAAATATTGTCAAAAGAGATCTTGCTACATATTTCTTTCCTTAGATATTTTTTTTAGAGTGTAAAGAAAAACTTTATTGACTTTCATACTTGAAAAACTTTCTCAGTAATTCTTTAATAATAAATAAAATGTATTATACGCTTTATTTTTGATAGAAAGCACTATTTTATATGAGAAAGAAACTCTTCGTTATCATTCAAGACTTCAATTTGTTAATAAAGATTAAAACTAATTTGAATTTTGTATAGAATTATATACTGCTTCAGATTATGTGTTTCGAACCAAGAAGATAGGTTCATTAAGAAAGCACTCCTCAGTGGCGGATCCAGACGGAGGCAGATGTGACGACCGCCTTCCCCTTTGGATATAACTCCAAGGTTTTTGTCTAATAATTTTCCTTGGATATTTTACATTTTTATCTCATCCGCCTCCCACTTTCGCTCATTTGCTCTCGTTTCGCTTATTGGACTCCATTTTTCGCTTATCTGCCATCGCCTTCAGAAATTTCTGGATTCACCATTGGTACTCGTAAAAGGACAAAAGAACTGAGGTACTGATGATAGTTGAAATTTTTGATGTTTTATATGCATTCGAGAGGTTATCATCTAAAATTAGTAAACCTAGATTTTTAGTTAATTTTGATGTCTTGCAGTAAAGATGATCTAGATCGACTTTTCAACATTACCTATCTGCTATCAGCGATTTAGTGATTAATTGTCTCATACTTTTGGATTCTCATCAATTTGAAATCTTGGAAATTCGCTGGTTCCCTCTTAGCTTGTGTACTCATGTTGATTCAGCAAATAAATTGCGTATATGTAATATTTTAAATAACTCATTTTTTCAGCTGTTGGTGATCTATCTTTTGATATATAGCATGCAAAAGCTCTCTGATTTGAGGAAGTAACGTTCTAGTATATATGTATCAGATAATTAATCACTATTTTCTTGATCGCAGATAGATAGTGTTGAATAGTCAAGCAAGATCGATTCTACTATAGAACAACGAAATCAATTAAAATTTTGGATTTGTCGTTTTTCGCTGATGATCTTTTGAACCTATATAAAAAATAAAAGTTTTGATCAATGCCTGTATATATGGATGATCCTTTGTGTTTGCATGGAGCGTCACTTTAGCATTTGGAAACTATTCCATAAGTCAGATGACCCAGTTTGTGAAATCAATGAGTGACCTGCAAAGTTCCGATTGTAAAGCACGCTAAAACATAATTATTCATATCTTTTCTACAAGAGTGGTAAAGACACTTCTAGTTTTGATACGGGAGATACGTTTGAAGAAAACAGAAGTTACCAGAGCTATTTTCGTATCATCATCAAGAGAAGAGTGAACTCTATACGATATTTCTAAACAGAGAACCATAAGCGAAAATTTCGGCAATTATTTTTGCATCACAAGTGATGTCGAAATCTAAGTAATACGAGATTGACTATTTTTCAGAGATTCTAGTTATGTGTTTTATTTAAAAAAAAGAGAGCGTGTTTAAGTATGCAAGAACAACAGTGTATCGTATATTATAAAAAAAAAGTTACTCATCGAAGAATACATAACGTGGTATTGTCTTAATAGTAGATCTACTGGATGCAGATGTTGTATCACGTGATTGTTCTTTATTAATTGAATGATTGCTGGTGACTTACGAAGTATGAACTTGTTTAGCTTGTGTTAGACGGGGAACCCATCGAGGATATTTTGTCCATATTGTACTATCTTGTCGAACATTAGATGCTGATAATTGATCATGTGATGGATAATCATGCCTTGGCGCGAATGTTGAATGGGATGATGATGTAATATGGAACAGATCGTTTCCTTGTTGAATATTATTTTGATTAATATCATTGTTGATAGTAGGTGATGCGTATGACCTATCTAGTTGAATTGATTGTGGTTGCATTGAATGAAGATCATAGGTTATTGTTCCTTGACTATGATCAATTTTATCTTCAGTGATATTTGATATTGATTGAACATTCTTAGAAGTCGATGGCAACAATGGAAGGGGATGATGATGTCGTATCATTTTGTGTTCATTAATACTGTCGAATGTTGTGTCGAGTGTAATTGACATATTTCTATTCTTTAAAGCCAAAGATAAAGTATGATCATTGTTTATGGTTAAGAAAGAACCAGCTGATAGGGATTCAGTATAAATACTTTTGTCACCTAAAGTTATATAGAACGTATCGGTCAATGGACCACTATTGTTATCATCGTTTTCGTTCATTTCATATTTTTTTCCATTGATAAATGAAGGTTTATTACAATAAGCTTCTTCTATCGTGTACGTAATGACAGGCTTTCTCTTTTGCTCATCATGAATTACATGACAGGGTTTAAACATTATCGATGAATTAATAAATTTATTTTCGATATTTTTACTAACCTAATGAAATAAAATAACTAAAAACAACAGCAACAACAACAACAAATTGGAATGGCGATTACTGGCACGATAACGGCAGTTGAATCTAATGATGTATTGTTGTCTGTAAAGTAAAATATGTAATACAAGTTCAACATAAAAGATAAATAGCGAAAGTTGATAGACTTACGAATAGTTGTATTTTCAACTGTGATTGTAGTTCTAGAATATTTTCAAATGAGCTGAATATTTGTACAAAAGAAATAAAGTGTTTCAACAAAGAAGAAAAATGTCTTTTTGAATAGTTTTAGATAGGAACAAGATAGAGAGCTGTAGTATCTGCTATTACAAAAAGAAGACTCAGGCGTATATATAAGTACTGACGTTCTAGTGACCAGTCTTGCACCATTCAGATCAATTCATGGTGGACATTTTGAAAAACGATATTGCAGGCCCATTTCTCACTCGATCTTAATAGTTAATTTAACCAGTAGATAGAAAAATTTCTTCACTTTCGATCCTCAAAATATTGACATTATTAGCTTAGTTCGTCCCAGAGTTATCAAGGTTTTCTTGAGACTCGCGATTTCAGCTAATTTGTTTAAGATTACTCGGAAACTCATCTAGGCAGATTTAATTCACGGTGTTGAGTCGAATAGCGATATTTATTTTTAAACTCGAAATGACATGACATTGTTATCTCAATATTTATGATGTGTAGGCTTATAATGCTACATTACGGCAAATTGCGAAACTCTGAAATAACAGTGTCAGATCCTTTCGAATCGTAAAAAATATATTAACATTTAACTCAGTACTGTGAATTATTCCTACCTGAATGCTTTTTCGAATGTTCACAGATCAATCTGGTGAAATTGAAGGCCACAAAAAAATCCCTATTAACTCTTGAATGGAACAAGTTAGCAATGTCCGCCTTGTGTAAACCGAAAGAGAACAATTTTTCCTATCTATTGATCAAATTAACAGCCAAGGTCATCTGAAAGAATGGTCTCCCAATATCGTTTTTCAAATGTCCACCCAAAACTAATCTAATTGGTTTAATACTGGTCACTCAAATTTCAGCACTGATATACATGCCTGGGTCTCCTCTTTGTAATCGTGAAAACCACAACTCTCTGACTTGTTTCTATCAAAGCTTATTCAAAAATACTCACAGCTCTTCTTTTTTGAAATGAGTAATAGTTCTGATTTGTTGTCTTTACTTCTGGAGAAGTGATAAGAAAACTTACATTGAAGACTGTGTTATTGTTGAGTCTGCTATCAGTAATTGTGTCGTTGTTAATTCGATTGTTGATAATTCTGTTGTTAATGATTCGGTAGTCATTCTAATCAGACAAATAATAATACTTTCTATGTCTATATAAATAATCGAAATAAATCTTACTCATTAGTAGTTATTTCTACTACAGGACATGTCCCAAAAGTTCCCCTACCCACAGTGAAGGTAAGACAATATTGATTCGTTTGAACACTTTGGCTATTGAAACAAACGACTGATATGCGAAATGAAGTTTTCAACCAAAAAATTGATTTACCTGTCAATACCAACTGAACAAAATATTTGTCAACCAACTTCATTTGCTGTTGGTGTCTATGTAAGAGTTATTGACCATAGATTGCTCGTATTGTGAACAATTGGCGTTTTAATAACAATTGGAAATGGTTGAGTGGCTATATCTACTATCTTAACGCCATAACTAGAACAGTAGTTTTCTGCAATTAACTCCAAAGTGTATGGTACTTCCACTTGTACGCCAGTACATGTACCTCCGAGAGTTGGACCATACAAATACGGTCGTTGAGTACAATTAGGTTGAGCATAGACATGAAAAGAAATTGAACAGGAACTGAGCTATAAGGTATTATAGTCGTCGAATTTGCAAAATCTTAAGCCTAATATATTTAAAATAGAATTACGTGAAAGCATGATGTTGATTATATCTTTCAACAAGCAGAATTTATCTAATATCGACCTTGAAAATAATTTGTTCAGAAAGAATAAAACTCGTTTCTATTTCTTTTTGAAACAAAACCAAAAAAAATATTGAAATATTCATTTTCTTTCTTAATATACAAACCCTGACTAGGTCATTTCTTTTTTTTTTCTATTAAATGTAATCAAATGTTTACTTTCTAACTTTTAAGAAGAAAATAAAATAACAGATTTTATGTAAAATATTTGAATAGTAACAGTATATCAATCATCCGCTTGAGCACCTGTGATAATAAGTGTACAATTATTTGAAATAGTAGTACCATTCGGTAATGATTTTGGTGGACAAAAACTATCGCATTCAATAGCACCGCTTGCAAAACGACATCGAACTTCATCATTATCAGCATCTATTGTTGGTATTGAAATCGTTTGTTGAACACCAACAGGAATATCAATAGGACAGATCATAGTAGCTAACGGTGGGCTATTGTATCTACCATCGGATCACATACGTAAATCAATCAGAGTTGATATACTCCAATTTTGATTTGATCCACTACCACTCGGTAGACTAAGAGTACGAAAAGCGCTTCCGTTATTAGTAATACTAAAATATGATCCGTTATTAAGTAAAACATCGTCAGTTCATTGTCCAACAGTAATTAACATTCTAACTGAATAATCAGTACATTTTGACGCAATAGGTATGGATATATAACCACCACTTGTTGAACAATTAGCAATACAAATAAGCGTTGCTGTTGCATCTCCAAAAAGAGTAAGTATCAAACTTTGTTGATTAGCAATATAGGTATTGTTACAATAGATTGTCGGCTAGACATAAGTATATGTTTGTGTAATGCGAACAATCAATTGTGATCCATTAGTACCTATAACTTTGTAACTGATAGTCCCACCTTGAAAATGTGGCCCATGAATAACAAACAGGGTCATGAATAGTATCACTAAAGTTAAGTTCAAATTCATTATGAACATTCTACGTAATTTTATTTATTGGATATTGTATATATTTTCAATAGGAATCTATTTTAAATGCAATCAAATAAGTAATGACTTTTTTTTCAATTCCAATAAGTGGTTATTTATTTAGAACAATAATTATAATGACGAAGAATATACACAGGTGAAAAAAGATAAAAACTATTGAATGAGGTATTCAATTTATAATTAACACACTTACACACTTGAAAAATTTTGTCCTTGATCTTGAACTCTTGCCTTTGTTTGCAATCGATTATTTATAACGATCTAGTGAAGCTACTAGAAACATGTTACGCAATGATTCTTGATATAAGAAACAGAAAAAAAATTTTATTAAACATGTATTGACCATAACGAAGATGTTTGTATTAGAGATACAAGATATTGTGTCTTTCAATTTACATTTTCTTATTCGTAATAATTGATTCATTTATTTTTTCTCGATTAAAAGTTGTAGAAGTCGTTTCATTATTGTAGTAATAAACACATATACCTTCTTTTACAATGAAATATCAATATATATATATTTTCATCCAAAATAAGACAAACGAGTGAATATAAAACAAAGATTCTATAATAGATGGCTTTTATTATGAAAGCATTAGTTGTCTGAAATTTTGATGCAAACAATATACGTATTAAATATATCGCTTTGTAACAGACATATATTTGAGTATATAAAGTTTAAATTTATCTCGTATTTGTGCAATAAAAACCAAACATTTATTTAAATTTTTAATAGAATAGAATGTAAATATTCTTTGTTTATCTAACAAATTCTTGTTGTTTTTCATCGAAAAAAACTTCATTGTCTAAGCCTTTGATTTCTTGTAATTAACGTTGATGTCGTTCGAGCAGTCTATTTATAAAATACATCACTCAAATATCTAATTGGCCTTTAGAATGTCTATGTTATGTTCGATGTATTCTTTAAACATGCATTAGACACCGAAAATTCTATTTCATTCTTTTCTTATGTAGTACTTGTTTTTTGGCAATTATAATGTTTAATAAACGAAAATTGTCGATCTAATAATCAAATAATATGAAACAGAAAAACAAAAGAAAACATCTACACTATATTAATTTTTCCAAGTGATTATCACAAAAAAATGAAGTCACTGTATATGTCAATCAAAAAAAAAAATTTCAGAGTCGTCGTCGAAAAACTTTGACTCTGCAATGCTCTAATATTTTCTATTTATTTGTCTTCGTTTCAACAGGAAACTTTATACTAAATCCGGAATATCTTCAGTTGAACAAGAGAGGAAAAACAATATTTGTAAAATGATAAGTATATGTGTCAGGCAAATCTAAGATTTTGGGAAAATTAAATAGACTTTATAAAGATTCAATATTATGCTATTAAACTTTGTTGAATTATGTTCCAATCAAAATAATCAAGTACTTTTTAGCTTATGTATTCCATTTAATAGGAAAATAAATGGCTTCTTTCAAAACTTGATGATCAAAAAACCATAATATGTTGATTTACTTGTTCATAAAAACCCTTTCTAACATAGTTTTCTTATCTCGACACCGAAGAAATCATTCGTGCATAAATGAGAATATGAATAAATGAAAATGAATACGCTATCTACTTAAAGACAAGAAGTACATCATATGTTCTCTTAATAAAAATGAAAATTAGAATTTATTTTAAATAAAAGACAATTATTTCTTTGTCTTGTGGGTAATTAAAAAAGAAATCTGCCTAACGAGAAAAGCCCTTCACCTGATAAATCACTATTGAATCGAGACTATGTTCATTATGCTGATCCGAGTGAGCTATGAATAACTTAAGAAGAGTTTGTGCCTTTAACTTATTGCTGCGAAGATATTGCACTTTCATGGCATTTTTTAATTGCTCCAGAAAAATTGATTATCGATATTTTGCCTTGAAATTTTGCATAGAGACAATGTTCAATTAGAATAGTTTCTTGTAGTTGTTTCACGTATTACCACTGTTCCTATTCTAATATACAACTCTGGATATAGCATGTCTTTTATATCGCTCATATAAATCGATAGATTTAATGCTTGCATTTTAGGATAGAAGCAAATCAAAAGATCTCAAACTACTCTCGATAAGGCCAGTCTCTATGCAAAGCTTCAAATCGAAATTTGAAATTCAATTTTTCTGGATCATGGAATTTGTTTTAAAAGATACTATAAAAGTGTAGTATCTCTGCAGCGATAATCTAAGGGCACGAACTATCGTCAAGGTATTCATAACTCATTTAAATTTACATAGAGCACATAGTCTCGACTCAAAAACGATTTATCAGTTGAAAAGCTTGTCTCGTACGTTTATTCTTGCTTGTGATATATATGCACTCAATTTTTCTCAATAAATAATGTGTATCACAGGGGTACTTATACAAAGAATAAATTGCATTTTCTTATCATATCATTGACCTCTAAATTAAACTCTAGAAGATTCATGTTTTTTTTCTATCAACAATAATTTTAACTTCATTAACATTAACAAAAATTAAATTAGATAGTCTGTCGGAAATAAATTGAATGACTGATAGATGTTTTCTGAAAAAGGTTTTATTAATTAGTTCTTTCTTATGAAATATTTTAATCAAAATATCTACTATAAGACTTGTCAGAGTAGAAAAGTCTATTCAATAATTGAGAACAGAATTACATAAATCGTTTGATTTTATTAAATTGTGAAAAAAAATAATTCTTCGTAACTAAACTTGACACTCTTTCAGGTCATGTCGTTCTCTATTAGCCTGTTGACATTTTTGTTATTGATAATGTTAATCATATTTTTCATTTAATTGATTGTGTTGTTTACAACAACCTTTTTCTCTATACTGTGAAATCGATTTTATTGCTTTTTATATTGATTTATACTTTCGATATTTTTCTCATAGTCTTTCCTTTATTTACTACATGAACAGTATACGATGATTTAAATAATAATCTGATCAAATTAGTAGTAAAATAAATTCCTGTTACATTTTTACGTAATCTTTCATTTAGATAGGAAAAAGTATCGAAACACAAACACATGTCCATAACATGATTTAAAAACCTAATGGATGAACAGGTACAGTTGATTCTTTGTCAACTATTTCTCGAGCTAATTGTGCCATTAATTTTGTTCTTTCAATAAATTCTGGACTTTGAATAAGATTAATATTATTATTAATTCTATCATATGCTTCTTCACACCATATTCGAACTAAATTTGATTCATGTACAGCTGTAGGCACTTGATATTTAAATGAATGTGTACAACGTGATAAACTAGCTGCCATTGTAAATAAATCAATAGTAATATCACCAATACGATGAACAATAAATTGTTCTTCACGTATTGCTTTACCATATTTAATAAGAATTTGTTCTATTGTTTGACCAAAACGATCAATTGATTTTGATAAAAGTAAACCAGATGGATGAAGTGATGAATGTATATATTCATTTATATTTGGACCTGTTGACATACCAATATTTCGACGTAAACGTTTTGAACCTTCACCAACAATAGCATTTAAATTAAAACTTTTAACAGCATTTTGTAATTCACGTAAATGTGAACCAACATATTGCAAGCCAGTAAAAGCAACAAATAAACGAAGAATATCATTAGCACCTTCAAATATACGAAAGATGCGTAAATCACGTAAAACACGTTCAAGACCAGTGCTTCTCATAAAACCCATTCCACCATGAATTTGAATTGCTTCATCAAGTACATACCATGCAGATTCAGATGCAAAAACTTTTCCAATAGCTGCTTCACCTAATATTCAAAATATGAATTTATTGAAAAGATTAAAAGATAAATTTTTTTTCATTACATTGATATTCAGGTATTCCACGATCCATATTTTGTGCCAAAAGATATCCAAGACTTTCAGTAACATATTGTCTCATTTCCATTCGTACAAGTTTTTCTTGAATATTACCATATGTATCAATTGTACGACCAAATTGACGACGATTTTTAGCAAAATCCTATAAAATATTACTTCATTAGTTTTTTTCCATGTATCATAGAAACTTACAATTGATTTTCGTATAGCCATTTTCATTGTTCCTGATAAACCAACGACCATACCAAATCGACCATTATTTAAAATATTCATAGCAACCTAGAAAAAAATAATATTGGAATAAAATAAAAATATTTTATTTTGTTTATTTTACTTTAAATCCATTTCCAACACCACCAAGTACATTTTCAACAGGAACTTTACAATCTTCAAAAAATACTTCAGTTGTATTTGATGCTTTAATACCCATCTTTTTTTCTGGTGGTCCATTTGTAAGACCACCAAATTTTCTTTCAACAATGAACGCTGTCATTTTATTTTGTACTTGACCTGTCTTATCATCAACACTAGGTACTTGTGCAAATACCGTAAATATATCAGCAATACCACCATTAGATGTCCAAATTTTTGAACCATTTAAAATATAATATTTACCATCTGGTGAAA